TATGACAACTACTATGGCAGACGACTTCGGACTAGGTGCGTTCTACTAAGTCGCGCTGACAACAAGACCAAGTTGCGACGAGGTCAACCCACTTCTAAGAATCTCTTATTCATGCGCTTTCATACGAAATGAAAGTCTGCACAATAAGTTAATCTTAAAATATTCTTCAAAACCAAGTTACCCTTCGTAGATCACCAGTCGCCTACCTGCCAAGTTAGTTTAATTGCAGTCGGTCCAATCGCTTGAGCCATGAGCAGACGAACTGGACGTGATGGACCGGTTGCCGGAGTACGAAACCATAGCGTTGAGGTAAGTGGGTGACCGAAACCACGGTGAAGGTCGTCACGTTGAGGTGTAGAAGTCGCTGGAAAAAATCGAGTAGCTAAGCTTGAGAAGAGGTGAACCTGATAACTGGAGAATGGTCGTAGATGGCGGAGTTCGAGCTCTGCCTGGTAACAGTGGCCACAACTTGAGCAGACTTCAGTCGACAAGAGAGTCTCAAGATGCTCCGTGCTCATCTTCCATCCTTCCTTTTCTGATCTCAGTGTCTGCATCTGCTGTTGCTTCTTTTTCCTTCTTGTCGTCCTATGCGCTTTATCCATCTCTGCATTTTGCTCAAGCATATCCTGTTCTGATCTACTCTGGGTTTGCTTCTCCGCATCATTCCGTCTGGAGACCTGCTCCACGGCTTGGACGAGGATCCGAATTAGAGGGTTTTTGACGTATACAGCAGCAGATGAGCAAACCGTCTGTCTGTCGGCAATGCGAAGACGCGTAAACTGAATGGTGGATCAAATCGAAGAATAAAAAACTAAAAAGATTGACACCGATGACCAATTGCAAGATAATGATTATCACCAAGAGTCCAAGGAGTGGTATCAGATCACCCGATTCACGGGAAAGAAGGGCAGCCTCTGGCTAAAAAACAAGTTAGAGGATACCAAGGATGAGCAAACGTATCCTTATTGAATACTTAACTACCCGAGCCCGGCGGTTGATAAATGCTTAACTCTGAGACATAGGCTAGCTCGAAATCAA